TATATATATATATATATATATATATATATATATATATGTTTACATTTGCATCTTTCCATAACACTTTTTCTGTCTTCCCCTCAGATCTCTTTTCATTTTTACCATTTTTCTCCCATCATCCATAGGTCCATTGGAAATCAGCCTGATGTCAAAGTGCGCCCCCTGCTTGTCAGCACCCTGCCACAACAATGGTACCTGTGTCTCCAATCCTGCTGGTTCCTACCACTGCACTTGTCCATATGGATTCAAGGTGAGACCGAACACAGCTGCAGATAAAAACAAGTTGGAAAAAAAATCTATTGTAATGCATTGTCTTTTTAGCAGTATTTTATGGTCTTCCTCTTTCATGTGCCTAACTTTTGTAATATGTGCAAGTCAGACTACAAACTGATATCTTTCATATTTGTAAAAAAAAAAAAAAAACACCGGGTCCAAGGCTCTGCAGGAGAGTCTGAATATGATTGTGTGCACGTATTTTTTTAAATACAACTTTAATGTCAAGAAAGCATACACCTTCAAACGATTGAGTTTTTGGTTTGTTTGATTTTTCTTTCTTAATGGGAAAATGATGGCTTAAGGGGTCAACGTCCTCTAAATGAAGCCAAACAGTTGACTTAGGTCGTTTTCACACTAGATAGTCCGGTAGACTGGGTTCAGTTCTGGACCAATATTCATGACCTTTTGTTACATTTGAGCTGGTGCGTTTGCATTCACACTGCACTGTGCAGTCGAGTCAACCTGTTGAACCAACCTATTCCCCCACTCTCCTGTGGGGGCACTGCACCAAGAACTACTGAAAAAAACGACACAAAAACCTCTGAAGACACGTCTTCTTCTTTTTCTGTAAATAAAAATAAAATGAAGTGGCATCAAGTTTTAGCAGTTTTAGGAGTTATATTTTGTCATTTTTCAAAAATGGACTTAGCCTGAGCAGAAGATGAGACAGAAGACCATGGAGAATATTGTTTTTCCACACAAGGCAGCTGACGGCTCCATATAAGGTCAGAGAAATGCGTGTTTGTTTACCCTGTGGAGCAGGTCCCGGTCTGTTTACATTCACACTGTACTCGAACCGCGCTGGAGTTCGCTTCTACCGGACCGAGACCTAGGTTTTAGCCCAGGCCAGAGTTCACCTTTTTGTTCCGTGACAGACTTCGATGGCGCGTTCACACCTCCCTAAATGAGCCAGACTTTCTAGGAAAACGAGCTAGAGTTCGATTAAAGTGGACTAAACAGGGCTAGTGTGAATGCACCCTTACTGGAACATGGTTGCGGGACATTTGTTTTTGTGCACACCTTTCATAGTCCACGATACACAGACGCAGAGCTCCTGAGAAACCCCTCCTGCTGCAGTATACATCACCATGTGGGTTTCTTCCCTCAAGAGTCCCCATTCCATCCCCACATCCACGCTTTAACCATAATCTATCATAAAGAAACGTACATACACAAAGTCTGCATGACCCACATCCAGAGTTTGGGCCATTTGACTATCTTAGTATGTCTTGATGTCTTAGTATGGCTAGATGTCCAAGTGTGTTTGTCATACATACCCACAAACTTCTGACAAACACACGATACTTGGCGCATACGCTTGTGAGAAAAAGTTTGGCCTGAACCCTGTGTGGAGAGGGGATGGGCAAAGATACTCTGATAACAAAATGATGTGATTTTTATCACACAGCTACACCATTGAGAGCATATTTTGCCACTTTGGATGGAGTATGCAGGGCCCTTTAGTGGTTAGCACTGTTGCCTCACATCAAGAAGGTTCTGAGTACAATTTCAGGGTTGGACCTGAGGTCTTTCTTTATGGAGTTTGTATGTTCTCCTCGTGTTAGGGTGGCTTTACTCCAGGTACTCCTGTTTCCTTCCACAGTCCAAAAACATTCATGTTAGGCTACCTTCAGGCCCAGGTCTCCCTTGTAAAAGTGATCTATGATATTAGTAAGATTTGCCTGATCAAAGCTAAATAGGTAAAAAATATATATATTTGTTGGTGTTGCTTTTGAACAACTCAACCATTTGCCACGGTCACAGACTAGGAAACAAAAATTTCTGGTGTGTGTGTCCTCCTGTGGTTGTGTCTGCTGGGACATTAATGAAAATGTATTAGATATATCTGATAAAAGCATCAAACAACAAATAAATGTAACCCAGTCCAAAATAATTGTATGTTAAGTTTTGTACTAATGAGTGGTTTGATGAATGCATTTTTGTTTTGAAGGAAGTTTTGCCACATGTTTTGTCTTATTTTGAAGGGTTCATGTTTGGAAAAGGAGGTAGTGTGGTGTCTAACAGATTTACTGATCTGTCATTGGTTTATATACAGGAAGTGGGCAGAGACAAGAGGGTATTAGAAAGAGTTTCAGCTGTACATTCTGCAGGGAAAAAACTGTGGTGCAGTTTGTAAAAAAAGTTTTTTGTTAATGTTTTAGACATTCAAATTGACAGTCTTTGAACAGATATCAACTCTACCTTGGGTTTGAGAACTACTGTGAGTATTGCAACATGGAATTTGCAGTACAGTAGTTGTGAGTTTGTTTTATAGCTCATTCATTGGCAAAGTGAATAGACATTGAGTACTGTGTACCTAACCCAGCTAACATGAAGAGACTTAACTAAAGTTTCTGGCAAGGAAACTCCTGAAGTTAAGTAAAGTACAACTAGGTGAGCCTAAACTGAGAGTTTTCTGTGACTGAGCTGGAGCACTGCATCTTCATTGGACCTTTCTGCTTCTTGCTGTTTCTGAGATGGGTGAGCTGAGAACACCCCCCACCATCTTTCTATTAACTGGGACTGACAGGTGAAGTTCCAGAAGATCTAGAACTTGGAGTAAGGTACCATAGTCCCTCCACTGTTAAGCATCACATCAGGCCTGCAACAGGGGTTATTTTGTTTGAACAATTTTTTTTTTCATTCATTCAACCTTTATTTAGACAGGTTAATCCCATTGAGCCTTGAGGACTCATTTACAAGAGAGTCCTGATATCAACAAAGAATCATGACAGCAATGGACAGCAGCGACAACAATAGACCGTTATAAAAAGGCATACCGATTTTTTTTTACAAATAAGATGCAAAAAAGTAACAAAAACAACTAGATTATAAGGTGAATGTAGAAAACTAAAATCAGGAACATGTCTGCATTGGTCCTTGACAAGAGTCCAACAGATTCTTAAAGCCACTTAAAGAGGTCAAGGTCAAGAACTTCAGGTCTTTTTGTAAGATATTCCAGGAAACAGGAGCTGAGTAGAAGAAGGTCCTTTTGTCAAGTTCAGTCCTCACTGAGGGAACTCTGCAGGTAATAATGTCCTGAGAGTGCACGCTGTAGCTGCACTCACGCGGAGACTTGTCGGAGGAGATGTATGAAGGCAGCAGACCAAGAAGTGATTTAAAGATGAAAATGTAATTTAACTATATGCCGGCTTAGGTGTATGTTAGAGGGTGGGCCCACTTGATTTGGTGTAAACTTTAATAATCAGAAACTGAAGTTTTTCAGTTTCTGATTATTAAAGTTTACACCAATGGACTGAAAATATTTAGAATTACTGTAAACGTTTTTTTGCTTTTTTTGTTTGAATTTAATATTTTAAAGTTTTTAAAGCTAAAACCTTTCGCCTGTGTTATTGGTTATTTTTTAAGAATAAATAAGTTTGAGTTTAAGGGGTTTAATGAGCTCAGGGGCCCTTACCTAGCTTAGAGGGGTGTAGGTGGGCTACATAAAGTTGAAAAGACTGATGAAATTTAGAAAGTAGTGAGGTGAAGTTAATGACTATAGACGAGCCAACAATTTTCAGTCAGGTCATCAGGACAGTTTCTTTTTCTGCAGAAACTTTTCACCTTCCATCCGGAAGGCTTCATCAGTCAAGGAAACACACAACACAAAACTGATTCTTCCCCCAAACAGCTTGGTCAATGCAAGGCGTTGTTGGAAGGTGCTATAGAAATAAAGTTTATTATTATTATTATTTATCCAAAGTGGAACAAACCAGTTATGTTGGTGCTACTTCCTGTTGTACCATTAACTCTAAAATAGTTATTGAATCAAGTGTTACTTGTGTAGGTAAAACTAGATGTTTAACAACCAGTTAAAATACACCAGAATGCAGGAAATGGCATCTACTTTATTCAAAATTTTCTGGGAGAGGACCCCCCTCCCCACTATCAGTGTGTCCTACCACCTCCCAGCAGAGGCTCGACATAGTCAGGGCATCCAGGCTCCGGCAGGCAGCCACCAGAGCGGGCCAGCACGTACCCAATCACCCAGCCCCAGATGCCAAGAGCCTCCAATGCCAATGCACCGGTGGCAGGGAGGCCCGCCCCCGGAAGGGAGCACGACTGGGGTAAGTAGACCCAACATTAAATGGGGGGCCCAAATTGCTCCAAGAGAGGGGACAACCCAAAACTCAACCCGAGACATAAACAGGCGCACACAGACAAAGATGTTGAACTCTGCAGGTGAGTTAGCGTAGCCAAAGGGACACCTGGT